GTGTGTGTGTGTGTGTGTGTGTGTGTGTGTGTGTGTGTGTGTGTGTGTGTGTGTGTGTGTGTGTGTGTGTGTGTATTAATTAAACACAGTTTTAAGTCTTAGTTCAACTGTTTCTTAACACTCTTGGAGCAGATTACAGCTTGAACTACAGGAAGTGGCACCAAATACGGCACGGTTTTTGTAACAAGTTCACAAACTTTGTTTATTGCACCGGAGCAGATAGACTGAGAAGCTGTGTGTTCCCTCAAGTTTCTGGGAACTTAGACACTGTGAAAATCTGCTGCACACTTTCCTTCTGCGATAGACACAGCAAGCTAAGGTGGAGAAGTTCAGCCATCATGAACTCTGAGCTCTGATTCTCCACCTCAACTCTAAGTTAAGGTAACTTATCTGTTGCTGCATAAAGATAAAGGAGTGGCCTTTGCTTTGTTTGTTAGTGCAGGAATGTTGAACGATTCTTCCCAGCCACTTCTCAAAGGTTATCTGGGGAAATAACGAGGTGTCCCCAGGCCAGCCGAGAGACATAATCTCTCCAGCGTGTTGTGGGTCTACCTCGGGCCGTCCTCCCTGTAGGACAGGCCTGAAACACCTCACCCAGGAGGCGCTCGGGAGCCTCAAATCACCTCAACTGGCTCCTTTCGATGTGGAGTAGCAGCTCTACTCTCAAGCTCCTCTGGAACAACTGATCTTATTTAAGGGAGAGGCTATAGCCACCCTTCAGAGAAGGATCATTTCCACCACTGGTATCCATAATTTAATTTTTTCAGTCACTACCCAAAGCCTGTTATCATAGGTGAGGGTATCATAGGAGGCTTTTCCATAGCTCTCTTTTTACCACGATGGACTGGTGCAGCATCTGCATCACAGCAAATGCAGCCCCAATACATCTGTCAGTCTGCCAGTCCTCTGTCCCCTCACTCGTCTGTGAGGTTAGAAAACCAAATGCCTGCAACTCTTCTCATTTGGTTTTATAAGTAAACAAGGCTCTTGTATGAGAGTTTACAAGAAACTTAAACAAGTCCAGTCACATTTTTCCACTCTGCATTTTTCCAGGTCAGGACTAAATGTCTCTCTACTGACTTTCTACCTGACAGCTTGCTGGTATCACAGATTTAATCATTTCTTTTTCACTTTGTCGCATGTTACACACCATATGCAAAAGATGGAAATAGCCACAGCTGTGTTTGTCCGGTTTTGAAGTTTGAGTGAGCGACTGAGAAACGGAGGACACTGCACACTCATGGTTGTTACTTGTTAATCAAAAAGTAGCCACACTGTACAACACAGCCTGCTTTACGTGTATTTTATGATTAATGAGACGTCGTTTGCAGAATTAACATTATGGCGTATTTAAAAACACTTGAACTTGGAAACTGAGATCATAAACTCATTGTTTACTGAGATCACAGGCAAAGTGAGCAGATGGATCTTTTCGCCGTAGACCTGTATACAGTCCGATGTTTTTTAAACCAAAGGAGTCTTCCCTCAGATGTTAGTAGACAGAATGCAGGTTTACTACATTTTTCAAAAGATATATCACCTTTTTATTCTCTGTAACTCTGGCAAAAATATAAAATGAAGGCAGAAAGCAGAAAAATTTATTTAAAAATGAACCTTTCTAATTTATGATCTGTTTACTATGGAAGAAGATTAGGGCCACTAACGTAGTAAACTGAGATTGACTGACTGAGTCAGAATTTAGACTTCTAGCTTTTACTTCACAATTCTGAATTCCATCTTAAAATTCTTAGGTTCCTAGAAGTTTGGACTTTATCTCAGAATTTTCACTTTCTTGTCAGAATTTTGCCTCTTACAATTCTTACTGTCTCATCAGAATGCTGATTTTTGCCTCAGAAGTCTGAGGGAAGTTTGAGGGAAAGTCCATAATTCTAAGTCTCATCAGAATGCTTAGTTTCATTTTGAAATTCTATCTTGTTTCCGACAAGAAGTTAAAATTTTGAGGTAAACTCCACTTTTTTTTTTCTTCCCAGTGGCCATTCCCTAATTCTCTCGTATTGTACTATCAGATACTTTGGTAAAATTATTTCATGGCCTTAAAAATCCATTTATCTTTGCCTTTTCATTATTTGCTACAGAGCAAACACAACTGAAGTCAGCGTGTTTAAATGCTCTGCAGCAGATAAAAGACAGTAGAAGTAAAAGGCATCTTGTGCATCCTCCTCTGTAAGTTCTCTCGTTTAAATTCTTCCTATCTACTTCTTTTTGCAGGAAGTCGCTGCCAACTGTAAGCCAGCAAAATTTATTAATAATTCAGGCAACGTCTGCAGCAGCAGCAGGAGATTCTTATTGTTTGCCCTTGCATGCACAGAGTTACTATCTTAACTTGGCATGGCAGCTGACACTTTGCCAGAGTGGATGTGCTGAGAGGTGTATTAGAAGTGATAATGAAGAACACACTTCCACTTGAGAATGAAGCAATTAAAGAGGGGTGTAAACAGCAGAGGGAGGAATGAGTGTGACTTCATTCCTGAGGGAATCCTCCAACATCTCTCACACCTGAGAGGTCTGCAGAGAGCGCCGGCTCTGATGAGGATTCCCGATGACAGTTAGCGACAGGAGGATGTAACACGGTCTCGCAGTGAAGCGGGAGGACAGCGAGGAGACTGAGATGCACTGAACAACATTTAACACGTGCTCCACCTGCGTGCTCCGGCATCACTGTTAGCAGTCATGTGACCTTGCAGAAGCCTGTAGATTCAGACAGAAGACATTGTTTGGCTGCACACTCAGGCCAAGTTGTGCTCCATTTAACAAAAAAAAAATACTGCATGGGTAAAACTAGTAAAAGGTCCCTTTAAAAGTTTTATCTTTATGAGCAAGTCTCTCAAACGAGACATTGGCTCTCAGTGGAACTACCTGCATAAATAAAGGTTAAAATAAGTTTAAGCACAAGTTGTAGTTCTTATTAATTCCTTTTAATCCCAGAGATGGGCTGCTAGGACATAAAAGTGTATGGACCTAAAATAATTATTTACACCTGCTGTAAAACAAACAAACAAAAAAACAACAACAAAAAGCAAACAAACAGGGAAGCTGATTTTCCCATTAAAAACTATCAATCTGCTTATATACAGTGGTTGATCAGGCATTTACTCAATAATGATTGTTTCCAAATGATAACTGGATGTTTGAAGTGTAGTTTAACACAACAGAAAAATCGCAAAAAAGAAAAACAAAATCTAAAAATGGAACTCTATTGTTGTAGAAGTCTGTTGTTTAAATTACTTCTATCAAAATTGTAACAAGAAAATGTTTGCCTCATGAAATTTACATTTGTGGGCTACAGCTTCATAGGAGCCCAGCGATTCTGGACTTGAAGTCCAGTTCTTGAGGAGACTTTCAGCATTTACAGGTTCTTTGCACGGTTCCAGGGTGGCCGGACAGAAATGGTATAAAGACAAAGACAAGGTACTCAAAGAAACTGAACTCTATGAATTCTGCAGCTCTAAAGATGGCCTGGGTCAAGTTGAACTCCTTGCAGTACCTCTCAAAATGTACTTCATTAAGCACAGATTGCGGTCTGGTTTATTAAAGGGTTAAAATAAGAGCGATCTCAGTCTGTTTGGTTTGAGTTTTGCTGGGACTTTTTGCTGCATCTCCCCTCATATGATGTCCCATCTTTCTTCTGAGTAAAGTAAATATGAAAAACGACAGAATATGCATTTGAATATTTAAAAAATGTTCTTCTTATTAATTTAGGTTGTTGCTCTGAATATATTCTTACGTTTAAAAATATTTCTCTTTGTTTCAGTAAAGTGATTTTCCCCACTGTTTTAAAATTTCAAAGATAACCATATTGTGAATATTTTCTTTATCATAACAATGAAATCTGAGGTGATTACATATCTGAATGTCATGTAATACTATCCATCAGCAATCACCATCAACATAAATGAAACTGATTAGTGAGACAAATAATTCTCCAATACGTGTTTATTGCGGTTTAGGATTGAATCATTAGGAGAGACTGGCGTCCCTGAGTAATTATGGGTGGCACGGTGCATCTCCGGGATCAGTTGAACCAGGTAAAATCCATTAAGGGTGCTAGACTATTCCTAAAACCCAAACCTAAAACAAAGCCGTTTATATTTATGGTAAGAACTATTATTACTCATGAAATGAAGCTTTCACGTGAATAGAGTCCCATATGGGATTTTGAGAGAGCTCATTAATGCAGAAAAACAAAGGTTATTTAAATTATTTTAATAAAGAATCTTCTAAGGATATTAGCGATAATAGTAAATATTAAACAGAGCTTAAGCTTGCGTTATTTATTTATTTTAACTCAGGCAGACCTTGGCCACGTTGGAAGGGTCCATTAGTGATGACGTCGGTGTGTCTCGGAAGATGTAGCTAAAACTTCAGAAATATTACGCGTTGTGTTTGTTTGTTTTTTTAAAGTTAATATCAACACGTGTTTACAAATGCGTAGTACATATTATAAGCCCCAGAATGGCACAAACTGCAAATATGCCAAATTAAAAGGTGAGTTTTTTTGTTAATATATCTTTCCCCTTTTTTTATAGCTCATTGTTGTTAGCTTAGCCCTTTAAGAGCCAAGCTATAATTAGCCACTAGTTACCAGGCCGCTTTTGAAATGTCGCTATTTTAACGTCGTCTTGGTTAACTACGGCATACTCTACATCAAAAGCATGATTTTACCTTTGCTTTTGTTCAGGTGGTTTTTCAGGTACAATCGGCTCGTAAAGAATGTATCAAGGAAGTACGCTGTGTTTAAAAAAAATCTAATTTTGTATTTGGTGATACCGTGGTCGCCACAGACTTCTACAGTGTTACATTAGCTGTAAAATTAACGCTACAACACAGTTTATTGGCAGAATTTGACTGTAAATGGAATCTTGTATAAATATACAAACTTTATTGATAATTTGGAACATGGTCGCGAGCTTGGATCTAAGCTTGGACCGTGATTTGTATAAATGTTTGTTAGCACTTAAGCACCTAAAATCGCCACATTAGTGAACGGAGTTTGGTAGAACGTAACGGATAATCTGGAAAGTTAGCTTCGGTAACATGAGATTACATGGAAGACAAGCCAGTGGGTGCAAGTAATGATAGCTTCTGATAATAGCTCCACACAGATGTAGGAGAATCAGCTTTCACTTGATGTTTTGCTGTCTTCTTTACTCGTTCATTTCCTCCACAGACCACTTTGATTTCTTATCCACTCGAATTACAAACTCAGATGCCCGGACAACAAAACAAATATCGCTTAATGCTATGTTTTATTAAAAGAGTTCTGCCTCTATTGAATCTGATCTTGATCTGACTTGCTGGTTTCAGGTTCGGGTCAGATTAAACCAGACCCTGCTGGCTCAGACATGCCTCAGAAACCACAGAAGAGCTCTCAGACTGCACACTACATCGAGCTGGGAAGTTATCAGTACTGGCCTGTACTGGTGCCCAGAGGTATCAGGCTGTACACATACGAGCAGATCCCCCCGTTTCTGAGGGAGAACCCCTACATCACAGATGGATACAGGGCATACTTGCCCTCCAGGCTGTGCATCAAAAGGTGAGAAGGACCTTTTAACCTGAAATCATCTTCAACACCACAACACAGTCACTCCACTAAAGTCAAGCAGTGCCTACTTTTTGAACACCTCAGAAAATTACTTGCGCACTAGGAATCACAGTTAGAAGAAGAGCCAAGTAAAAGACTTAAGAGACTTAACGTGGTGCAACAACCTATCCCACATGTTGATATGAGCCTTGAAAGTGTTCCACAATTCAGTTTTTGAAGCTTTCTTCAGTGAAAGCAGGTTAAACATGCAGACTACCAGTGTTTTTCTCTTTTTTATGTCAGCTGTTGAAACTATGATGCATTCCATTATATTAATATTTAAAGCCGACTATAAGGAAGATAAAAAGATTCTGAACAGGTCACATTACACATTTGATTGTTGTGGAGCTGCTGTATGATGATGTCGTTGTGTCTTGGTGTAACGTGCTGTAATGGTACTCTGTGATTCCCACGCCTCGCTGCAGAGGCTGATTGATTTTGCTTCCTGACATTTGTTGTAGGGTCAATGCCAATAAAGATTTTAAGGGAGTTGGGCAACTCGTGTTGCTCTCTAGTTCTAGTTTCAGTGGTTAATGGAAACGGCGAATCCAGACTGTTTATTGATTGGGAGGTAATAGATGCTTGTCAGACATTTATGTCGGGGTGTATAATTGTTCAGAGTTTTGGTTCATACCTCTGGTTTTCTTTAGAGGGAACTGACTGTGTGACTATTTTAAAGCTTGTAAATGACCTTTGCAGCCTCTTCATCCTGTCCAATGAGACGGTGAACATCTGGAGCCATCTCCTGGGCTTCCTCCTCTTCTTCTGTCTTGGGGTGTACAACATGGCCTCGGTGCTGCCGGCTGTTGGCGCCTCCAGAGAGGATTATGTCATCTACTCCATTGGACTCTTCTGCTTTCAGGTACAGGTACATTAGCAGCACTGCTAATGTCTTCTGCTTAGACATCATCTCACATTGCTTTTATATAGAATAAACCACCAGGGATATTTCAGTTCTCCTGAGCTGTGGTTAGATTGAAGTTGGCAATTACACTGCTCATGCACTGTTAATAAATCTCAGTATATTTGAGTATTGAAGAAGGCAAATATAGGCCTCTCTAGATTTGGCTATTCCAGGTGTTAATGAACCTGTTGGATCACTTTGTACACTCATCATCACCTATAAATGTAGCCCTTAAAATATCCAGACATGCCTGTACAAGTGGGTGAGCCCAGAGTTGAGCTTTTTGCATTGTTTCAGTGGATTCAGAAAATAAAGAGCAGGGTTAGTGCAGTTACTGACGGGCGGGATAGCGATTGTAGTTTGACACAATGTGAACTTTTTACCTTTTCAATGTGGTTACATGTCATAACACCAAGTATTATGTTCAACATCATAATCACTAGTGTGATTAAAACGCCACGTTTATTGCTTTCTCTCAAACCTGGTGTGGAAAAGTTCTTTTATTTCTTTTAAACAGTTAGATTTCAGATTCAAGTATTAATTTATTTTATATAATAAATATGTCTGGGGCTTGATATTATTGGTATTCATTAATTATATTGCCAGTTTGTGTTTTTGTTGCATCTCAAAACGTATTTAACTGTCTTGTTTTGACCTCAATGTCCTGCTTTCTGTTAGAAGCTCGTGTTCTGCTTTTTCTTCTTGGTCTGTGGACGTAAACGTGTTTTTTATATTTTCATTATTAAATAAATTTGAATCCAGCGTAAATCCATTCTGAGCCGAGCTTCTTTGCAATGCCCGACTGTGTGTTTTGCCGTCCTCAGCTGTGTATGCTGTGCTCGATGGGTTACCACCTGTTCTGCTGCCATCGCTCAGAGAAGACCAGCCGCCGCTGGATGGCGCTGGATTACGCCGGTGTTTCCATCGGCATCCTGGGCTGCTACGTCCCCGGAGTCTTCTACACCTTCTACTGTAATAACGTAAGCTCACCTGCAGCCTTTCAAATAAACTGCTCTCTCTTAGACGGAGTTTAAAAGTGACGTTTTCACTGCGCCGAGTGTTGTCGAGAAGCCTTGTTGCTATGTTTTGTACCAACTGCAGACTCCAAACTATAGACAGGTTCATTGTTTGGAAGTATTTGTAATCTGCACATAACAAGACTGTACTAGCCTTTTCACATACTGGTTGAAGTTTCCATGTTGATAGAAAGTAACGTCCAGGTTTCTGGCACATTGCTTTACGTAGGCTGTTAGTCATCCACGCTGAACAGTGATACTGAAATATGATCAGAGACTGTGGATTATTCTGAGGGCAGTTATTTGGAGTTCCAGTGCTCTGGGCCTGTATGTAGATTTTTGTTTTTTCTGGACTGGACGAGACATAAAACTGGCAGTAAGCGACGTAACAATGCGAGAGTCACGTGTTTAAACTTGCAGATGACACAGACTGGTTCTTAGATAGCATTTTTATACTCAAAGTACTCAAAGCACTTTATACAAAGTTTGCCCCTTTCACCCACACAAGCACTTGTTACTAGCCCTTTTCTACTAAAGTGAACATTCAGAGGGCAGTAGAGGTAAACTAGATGAAATGGGTACAACAACGGGGTTTTTTTCCTTTCTAATGATGAAGATCTTTGCCATGGCCACATAACATCCAAGGCCAGAAACCTTCCTGTTTGAATACTTTTACTACCAAGAATTTCTTTGTTATGCAGACAAACTGTTGAACTTGCAGAGATGAAGCTCTATCAGGAAAATGCGAAGTTTAACGTCCTCATGCTGGTAGAAACGTCGTGGGCTACACGCGGTCTTTCAAAATAGGAAGAGTAAGATGTCCTGAGTTTGCACTCAGTGTCTAGTGTTATTCATTAGCTTATGCAAAGCTATTTCTCTGCTGTGGTTTTATCTAAAACCACGCTGTTGTTGCCTTTCTAACCCTGTTGCATTGGAGCAGTAAAAAGCTCGTGCATGTTGCCCATCTCCTCATCCCTCGAGGTTTTGCTGTTGTGATGAATTTAAGCTCACTCTTTCCAGAAACAGGTCTCCGTGTGACCCAGACTTACTCGGCTCAGCACTATCTTTTACTCTGACTTTTCTGATGCGACTTTACAAAAGATGCTGCGTCACAGTTTACTGCTGCCAGCACATTTTTCCAAACAAAAAGCAAAAAAGATCAAAGACATAAAAACTAATCGGCTTTAAATTCATAAGCAAGGTCAGAGGTAAACATCCTCGCCACATTATTCACTCTGAATCCTTATCTCTTAACGCTGAGCACCACGTCGCCCTCTGGAGCTGAATCCGTTTAAATCCTTTAAAAAGTGCTAAATGTGAAAAGCTGCCCTGCAGTCCTCTGTGACTCAGCAATGCTGTGCTTCGCTTGTATTGTAAACGGCTTATTATTTACCCTCGTGAGTCGAGTTCAAAGTGGCGGAGGACAGGCAGAGCAGGCAGACTGCTTCTCTGTCTTAAATCCTGTGTCCTTGTACTCATCACTTCAGCCTTTTATGTGCTGCTCTCATGAGCCTTCTTCAGTCTCAAGAAAGAGTCAGGCTGCTGGAAGCCTAACCTTCATTTTGTCCAGTCTTTTTATAGTTTTGCCTTCAGAAATGATAATTACATGTATTTTTTTTAGTATTTTATTTTACCAGACAGAAGTGATGTTGGTTCAGCATAAAATAGATGTGTAAGTGTTTTTGTAGGGTTAAAAAAAAGTTTCCGCTCACATACCTGGATGATCAGACTGAATTCAGAAGTTTACAAACCACATCTGTATTCATGTCTGCAGAAAACAGGCTTTATATTATCTGGAACAATGTCGGTGACAGCTCCGAGTCCATCTCCTTATCAGAAACTTTCCCACAGTCAAACATTCTTCCTCCGTCTGGGTCACATCCTGTGCTCTTTTACCGTTTCTCTCAGAAGAGATACCCAGTCCCTAAATGCCTCTTTAATGCGTTTAGCACCATGTTGGAGTTAATTAAATGCACCCAACCGCATGATCCACTTGAGATGAAGTCTGTCTGATCCAGTTGAAGCTGTAGCTCCGGTAGCTTTTGCAGTAGTTTCTCCTGACATTTCGTGCAGTTACAGTAATGTTTGGGTAACACAAAACCCTGATGCAAACTTGGCTGTCGATCGGATCATACCATTGGGGAGCCACTGGTCTAATTAGTCCCTCTGCCTATTTTCTTATCATATTCAGAGTTATGATGAGGAACTGAGAGGTCACCAGGCCATCACGGGTCATGACATGTAAGGTGTTGGGGAAAGCTGGAAAGACCGTAAGAAGGCAGAAGGATCATGAAAGTTAGAATGATGCCTTGTTTATGGACATATTGGTTGTGTTGCACGTCAGTGGTGACATCACCACGAGACTCGTTGCAATCGCCACTCTCACCAAACCTCTGCATGAGTGCTGGTTTAGGAGGAGAACCAGTCACACCACATTACAAAAATAAAGAAGTGTGGCTCAGTTGGAGAGGCACTCCTGCAGCTCTGATGTCACTCGTGGTGTGTGCTGCCATTCACAGGGGTGGAAATGGGCCCTGAGAGTGAAGCTGCGAAAGCCTTGTTAGGTTGCACTTTAGTTGTTCTTCAAAAGGTTACTTTGTTACTCACTGGAGAAAATAATTGGTTACATTACTCTGCCACATGTTTCAGATGTGCATATTCACACAATAACCAATTATGAACGACTACCTATCCTCACAAGGACACACAAGATCTTTCATTAGTGCCTAAATATGAACGCAAAGATGGGCAACCAGGTCAAAGGAGTCTTAAATGATTTTACAGTGGAAACTACACTGATTGCTCGTACCTGCTCCTGTTACCTGAGGCAGATCAGGCTCTGGATGCTTTGCTGGGGTCAGCATTTAGCATTAATCTGGTACTTCACTAGCTTTATGTGCGAGTGCTGCCTGTGCAGATGCTTGGCCTGTGTTGCGTTACCTGTAGTAGTTTGGACTCATTTTCCTGCCCTTTACATCAATAAAAATCAAAGTAATTATAAGTGAAATGAGTGCAGACCACCTCCTCCTTGAGTCAGCTGATTGTAGTGCGAGTGCACACAAGAGGAAAAACATTTTTGGCATTGTTTTCTACTGTCTTACGCCCCCTTACTGGTAATATTAAAATTAATTGATGATAATCCTAATAGCTGGCAGTACAACACCGCTGAAAGGGAGGACACGGTTGACGCGAACTGAATTATGGTGAAGCTTAAATTCAAGATGTTTTAAAGTTGACCTGAAATAACCACAGTGGTGTTTTCACGTATGTGATCGAGTAGCTCTACCTCAGAAGCCCACCTCAGACTGCTCGCTGCAGTCGTGTGTGTGCACTGAGCATCGGTTTAACATCGAAGCACAGTCCTCCCCGGAGACTTCTCAGCTCAACATCCTCAGCCTGAGAAGCAGTAATTGAATAAAGCTGAAGTGGGCCCTGCAGTCTGGCTGTGCTGATTGACTCATTGTTCCCGGTGAATAAGCAACACGACACCTTCGCCGCGCTCGCCGTTTGGAAAACAGCCTCTGATGACACAAGCCAGTTCCTTATTCCAGCCGCCCACCACCACCATGTCCCTTTTTTTTCTGTCCTATTTTATTTTATTTATTTTTTTGAACTCCTGAAGTGTTGGCCGTGCTCCTCACTGTTCGCTTTCCCCCGCATATTGGAAGCGCCGGGTTATTTTGCCCCCAGAACGTAGCTGAAATCTGCTCCAGCCCAAACCAGATGGCCGCGTTCACGGAGCGGTCCGTCACTCCTGTTCCCCACCATATGACGTTCGCAAGTCCGGGAGCCGTCTAAGCGAAGGTCCCCCTCCTCCTCCTCCACCTCCCTCCCCCTCGTCCTTGCCAAGACTGGGGCTCTGCTTCTGGGTGGCTCCTCTCCCGTGGCACGCCAAGTCCCCAAAGAAAAACAGATTTTTTATATTTAGCCAGTCAAACTCTTGTCTCGTCAAGAGTGTTTTAGAGATGCAGATTTGGAGGAGAGAACACGGAGTCTGCGAGGAGAGGAGCTTAAAAAATTTGGCTGAAGCAGAGCGGGGCCTTGTTCCTGGTGCAAATTTATTCACTGTGAAATTCAGCAGGACTCGTCACATGAGGACGTGTGACTGGACGAAGGCCTACATCCACACAAACGGACAGAAGGGACCGAGACGAGGCTGCCCAGACTTTAAACACTTACTTATAGAAGTTTAAATACCAACTGCAGACAGATTAGCATTATAGTTGTGATAACAGCAGATGAAACAGTGGGAGACTTTTAACTGATTTTTTTTTTATTGTACTGCAGTACAGTAATATATAAACCCTGAGTTATTGTCCTATAGTTGTTCAGACATCAGAAAAAAGAAGCTGTGTGCACCACGTTTGAGGAAACTTTATTTCTGACTTTGCAGAAACACGATGAGGTGGTTTCATTTTGATCATGCTGTGTTGTCAGTTTGACCAAATTGACAGTTTCAGTTTTGCATGTACACTAAATTATTTCAGGGGTTCCCCCCATTGGGAACTAAATGCTTGGGAACTAAATCTCTGAGGAGATTGTTTGAGTGCCCCCTCCAGCTTTGGTTCAGGAGTGAGGGAACAAGTGAATAGGAGATTACCGGATGTGTTTTTGCAGCAGTGTGGATGCTGTAGCGGTGTGTTGTGGTGAGTTTCCCACTCAGTCTACGTTCCTACTCTCACCTATAGCCATGAGCTGTGGGGAGTACCTGTAAACAGCAGCAGAAATGAGCTTCCTACAACCCAGACCCAACCCATAAACAGCAGAGGAAGGAAGGAAGTATGAATGGACTGCCTTTTTTTTTTCTCATAAAGTTTGAGTCTCAATCTTATTTGTACTAAATTAAAATAACAACTATTACCACTACTATTACTACTTTGAACCTCAGAATCTCCAAAAGCAATGTGATAACTGCCAATTCAGCTGTATCAGCTACCAGTGATCTGCTTGGTAACATCAAGGATTTCACCCTTTCACAGCCTGTAACCTGTTCTTCTTTGTGGCCTTCAAATCTGGAAGAAGAAAAGCATAGCAGATCAGCGTTAAATAAAGCTGATTGAATGATGTGAAAGCTGTGCATGTAAGAGGGTCTGCTGAGGGAAGCATCAGCTGAGTTTGCAGTGAGCTTCAGCTCGTTTGTGGTTCGGTCACAGTGTTCGTCCTGCTCATCACCAAACAGCAGGAAGCTGTCACCAGCTGAAGGACTTTCCTCAGGACTCCATGAGACAGACAATCTTCAAACGAATGAAACTGTTTGCAAACAGGTCCCTCACATCAGCCCAGGGGCCGTTTCACTTGCTTCAGCTCCCTGCGAGTTTAAAAATCGCCTGCCTGGTTTTCTTTTCTGCTTCTGAAACCGACTGAGGTGTTTTTAAAGACTCAAGTTTGTTTCTTTGTCTAGGTGATGTTGCTGAACTTGTTCGGGTTTAACCTTAGTTACAGTTTCTTTTAAGTCTTGGGACCATCGGATACCTCCAGCATGCGAAGGACATCTTGGGAAAAAAAAGCTCAATCCGCCATGAAGGGAGTTTACTGTGTAGCTGGTGTGACTGAACTCTCGTCTTCCTGTCTGTGCAGTACTGGCGGCAGGTGTACCTGGTGACGGTCCTCGCCATGATCCTGGCTGTGTTCTTCGCTCAGATCCACCCTCATTATCTCAGCAAGCAGTGGAAGCAGCTGCGCTCGATCATCTTCTGCTCGGTGACCGGGTACGGCCTCATCCCCACCGTCCACTGGATCTGCCTCACGGGAGGTTTCTCCTCTGAACTCGTCCAGGTGAGCGTGCTCAGTGTGGTCCCCGTAACCAGTGTTCACTGCTGTGATTCCTTTCTTTAAACAGACTTGAAACTAGCAATTTTGGCAATTTAATGAGGTCCGAAAGCAATGAGAAATAATTTTCCTGTAGACTTTACGACTGTCTGATTTCTTTTGCCAACCATAGTCGCCACCTGCTGGTCATAAGAAGAAAAGAAATCCATGTTTAATGCACAGTGATCGGCTTTACTTTGCACAAAAAAATGTACTTCAGTCTGAAAAATCTCTTTAGATCGACTGATGATTATTAGAAAATGAACATTTTAACTCAGGAGTCTGTGGGACCGACTTTCAGGGCAAGCCTCAAGTGGCCATTAGAGGAACTGCAGTTTTAACGGCTGTTGAGGGTCCTCCTTGATTGATCCACTTTAAATGTGTTTTCCTGCTGCTGCAGTAACACAATGTCTTGGCTGGCTTTAAATGCTTTTCAGTACTGTTAGGTCAGTCAGTAGTTCTTCCTGCACGTGCCGTTTTGTAACTGTGGGCCATTTTTGTCCACACGCTGGTCGAATCAATGTTTCTTCTTCCTTTCAGGCGTTTGTTCCTCGGGTCCTGGTGATGTACTTCATTGCAGCACTGGCTCTCATTTTCTATGTTTCCAAAGTTCCTGAGCGGTACTTCCCAGGTGAGATGACTGTTTTTATTTCTTCATTTCCTGTTTGATTCGTTGTTTTTTCGTCCACTCATAGTTGGAAAATAACAGTAATCTAATACTGCAGAGAGAAACATTGAAAATGGGCCCGAATCTCATTAAAATCTGAAGCAAGCTGAGTGTTCCTGTCTCTGCAGGTCAGCTGAACTACCTGGGCTCCAGCCATCAGGTTTGGCACTTGCTGCTAGTGCTCATGTTTTACTGGTGGCACCAATCAACAGGCTTCATCATGGCGTACAGGCACAGTCAGCCATGCCCCAACACCCCCCAACACGCCTAGATCGCTGCTCAGCACGCCAGGACTGCAGCTCCGATGAACCGTAAGCGGCCGTGTGACTTTTTTAAAAGGAGACCTGTTCTGCTCAGTTTCAGCTCCATCGTTTTTATTTCTGGACTCCACTAGAGGAGCTTTGCATGACTCACAGTTCAAAGTAATTCTGGGCTTTGGTGTAGCCCCTCAGCTGTTTTTCCTCCTCTGCCTTTAAACTGACTTTATTCTGATTGGCTGCCCCTCATAACCACAAGGGTTCGACTGCAAGTGGTAGTCTAGTGGAGCGTCTGTGGTCACAGCCAGAGCTTTATGACTAAAATGACCTTAACGGTGACGGCCGTGTAAGCTTCAGTTTCTGATCCGCTCAACGATGCTTTGATTACAGAGGAGCTGTTTAACAGACTGCTGAGAAAACTTTGCCGACTGCAGAGAGTCGGGAGTTCACTCAGATGCAGACTGTGGCTCAATTTAAATAAATCAGAAAAAAGAAAATCTTTAATATTTAAGCAGATGTTTGGGGGTTAAAAGGCTTAAAGGAATCAAAGAATCAGCAGGTGGAAGACGAGGAGCAGCTGCTCTGTCAGGACATGAGGTCATTCCAGTTACAGAAAATAAGAATCTAAGCATGAACACTACTGTATATGAAGTGTCTTCTGTCTGTTTTGTCAAAACCTCACATCGAAGCCTGTTAGAATATGTCTAAAACTGAACCTTTTCAGGTAACACAGGTGATTTTTGATGCTTTTAATTGGCTCTGTTCACAGCTGACGTGTTGTTTCCTCCTCAGGTCGTCTGCAGAGACTCTGTTCTGGTCTCGGTCCATCAGTTTCCTCACAGATGGACTCTCTAACCTGTGAGTCTCTGTGATGAGGGAGGAAGAATAAATCCAGCGTGTGACGTGACGTTCGAGTACTTCAAGCTAATAAGAAACAATACGGACCTCTGCGTCGGACTGACAGCTCACCTGAAATCACTCAGACTGTCACCTTTATAAACTCCTTGAGGACTTAATGTTTGTGTGTAAACCGCAGACAGCACTGAAGGAACGGGTTGGTAATGTTAGTTTTTCTGCCTGGAAATGAACCCGTGTCCAGCTGTTTTTAAAGGTTGAAAGCTGCTTCATCTGAGAGCAGATTCAGGCTCGTCCCTGAAAAAGGAAATGAACTAATGTCAGTATTATTATACTACGAGTAAACAGACTCCAGATTTCTGATATCTTCTTTAAAAACAGACTCTGAAGTCTTTGTTAGTGGAAATGATCAAAGCGTGGGGATGATGTTCAGACAGAACAAACCAAAGAGTTTTGTGAAACAAAGTGCGGACTCAGATGGTTTCATATAAATGTACCCGCTCTATTTCATACCTGAAGCTCCGTTGTTGTTTTTAAGCTGCTCACTTCCTGTTCAAACTGATGTTCATTTATATGTAAAGAATTTCACAGGATGCTTGAAGGGGAACTTTAAATATTTCAGTTACTTTATGTTGTTCGCCTTCATCAGTGGTGTGGCTGTGGGGTGAGGGTGGCTGTGGGGATGCTCGTAAAGTTTTATAACTGCGTCCCAGCTGAGAGCTGCAGGAATGAGTCCTAAAACCCAGGAAGTGGTTCAGTCTTCCAGCTTCGTCCAGTTCAGTTCTGCGTTTACTTCCACATAATAAAAGATGGGCGTAGCTTCCTGGCCCGCTGTCCTGACCTCAGTCTGGTCATAATGAATAAAATGTGACGTCAGGTCTGGGTCGTCGTAAAAAGACGTCCTAACAGGAAGTCAGCGATGGCCACTTGAGCTATAAGGAAACCTTCACCATCCCTGCAGCGCTATGAACATTGATTTGTTACTACAAACTGTTTTTTGAGCATTTGAACAATCAAACTTAAGTTCTAAAACCCTAAAACATCAGATTTTGTAACTAAGCTGGGACAGTTTTTAGATTCACGTGATTTAAACATTTCACATGAACTGCATTAATATTTCTGTGTAGCGTGTGGCTCTTAATATCGACTGTAAACTCTGATCACGTTACAACAGAACTTTTATTATGACAAGCAAACTTCATTTTTGAAAATGTATTTTTTCTCTTCAGCACATGTTTTTCCAGCTCGTTTAGGGTGATGTGCAATGTTTTCATGGCTCTCCAGTGCAGCGCCTCTCTGCTGTCTCACTCTGGAAGGGAAAGCCAGATGTTTTCTGTGTGACCGTTTAATGTTTCTAATGTTGAAAAGGGGGAAATGTTCTCCGGTTTGTGGTTCTGTATTTAAATTATTAATAAGGAGTTTCTTTTTGTCTTAACAGACTCATTTTGTAGGAGTGGACAGTTTTATATGTTGACTTTTCATACCTGAGGTCAGACTCTAAATAAAAGTAACCATGTGCTGTTTCCAGATGTTTGAGATGAAACTTTATTTATTGCGTCCAACAGCAGTATAGCATGATAAATACAATACAAGACTTACCCTGGTGAAAAAAACAAAAACAAAGATGGGAGCGGTCGTATGAAATGGTTCAACTGGTGTAAAAAAAGAAAAACAGAGCAGGCTGCTGGTTTCATTCAAACAAATGTGCCAACGGTGGTGGAGCTAAATGCAGTGCTTAAGGCGGTCGATGAAGAAGCACAAAGTTGTTTAAGGAAGATTTCATCAAGAATCAAAAACCAAACCTGAATAACATGTTTTGCCCTTTATGAATGCACCTCATTCTGCAAAGGCAAAAAACCAAACTGAACAAATCCCATCAAGACATGAAACCGTGACGCAAGTAATCAGAGCTCGATAAACCAATAAAACCTGTCCCACAGAGTCCTGCTGCCACGAGTACTACGCTCACTGCAGAACCAAACATCGAATCATCCAACGCATCGTTTCCCCTCACAGTCTGAATCTGCTCCCCGGCCTGTATTACTGTAGGGTCCTTAATAAAACGCAATGAGGAATTTTGCTTTTAAGAGAGCAGTCTGATAGTTTAAGGAGGCGGAAAAAGTTCCTTGCTACTCTTCTTTCTGTATTTATAGTTAAATCTACTCCATAAGCTCATTTCCAGGAATTATCCACATATGATGGTGAAACAGGCAAAATAACTTGTTGGTCAGCACCATAAATCAGTCAGCACAAAAAGACGGACTGTATGAAAAAAATCTTAACTGGTTAAAATAGTTAAGTGGGATTTTATTTCTTTAAACATAAAGGACAGTTTTAATTATCAAACGGCTACAAAATAACCAAAAGTTCCACTCCTAGCCTGAAAAACAAACTAATCGTGTGCTGTTTTCTAATTTTTTTTATGCCTCCTGGCTACAAAGATGAGCTTTAAGTTAAAGCAGCGCCTCTAAATATGAATTATTTAAAGCTTGGAAAGAAAAACCGTACTGTTCAAACACCAAACTATTGCTCTCAAACTGGTAAAAACTGGTTTGAGTGGGGCTGCGCTCACAGACGGGGTTAAATGAAAACCCAAGAGAAACAAGTTGGGTTTATCTGAAGTCGCACTGTTATTTCACCCTTTCTTCTTAATTCATACCCCCAATTTTCTCAAGAGGTTTTTACATTTTAATTCTGGTACATTGACTCACGGCACCATCTTGTGGTGCTGATTGGTATTACATGAAAGTACAGCCCGGCTCTAATTCAACTTCAGTTGATATCGCTTCTGCACAACAAAGTCCTTTTTGTCATAGCAGTTATTTCTTCACATTCTGGTGACATTTTTAGTCAATTTTAAAGCTTTTACGCTACTTTTAAATATACAAATGTACAACAAGCACCTTCACAGAGCAGCTAATGTGAGCAAGTCTCACATGCACCTGTAACAGCTACAAACTTTGGGGTTAGAGCGAAAATTACTTGAAACACTTGACTGGCTTTAGTTCTTTCATGGGACTTGTTCACACTAAACCTGCAAACCTATCAGTTTACCAACGGTGAAATTCCCGATGACGTAAAATGCCGAGGTCAGTGACAATGCTGGGAAAACAGCGGTACAGCTTCTGCAGGGCTCATAAATCCTAAACTAGTCCTCTAACGTGGCTTTGTGCTTTATTTCTAACAGAGAAATGTTGAGTTGTAACTTACTTAAAAAAATAAAAAACAATTAGAGTTCTTACTGCTAGAAAAAAAAAAAAAAAGAGTTAAGATCCTAAATTTAAACCTGACCCAATTAAGAGCTCCAAGAAGAAGAACAAGATTCAATCCCTTCTAATGCATCACAAACCACACCCACATTTAGCTGCATAAAGACTACTGTGACATTATTAGATTCTTCTCTATGCATAAAGACAGAACTAAGAGGTTCAGGAAAACTCCCAAATGATTTCAAAAGACGCGCGAGGCTGACGGCGTCGTGGTTTCCGAGGTACTATGAAGCAAGGCAGAGCCGAGCTCAGGTAAGGCTTCGTGGTGCTAAAAACAAAAACATGTCGGCAGATCAGAAGGCGGGCCGGAGAGAGCTTTTCACAGCAAGACGAGCGGTCGAACGCGAAGCTCAGAATCACATTTTTCTTTTGGTTCCAAACAGCGTTCAGATGCAGCATTAAAGGCTTTTCAAAAACATGTGCAGCTGAAGGATATGTGGAAACGCCACTCGCACTCCACAGGGTTTGTTATCCAGACTCTGGTGTATTAAAACGCTCTTAGAAAAAAGTTTTAGCTTGTTGGTTAAAAATGATCCCAAACCAAGAAAAGGAAAGCAGCCGACAGAGCGGGAAGACGCAGGTGGAGTCACTGCTTTGAGGGGAAAGGTGCGGCTCCGAAGGGGTCGAGGTCCAGCGGCTGTGAGGGCGCCGCCTGCTGCTGAGGTCCACTGTGGATGACCAGTTCTGTGAAGGGCACCGCCCCGAAGTCATCCATGATTCGGCTCTCTCCGTGCAGAGAGCCCGTCCAGGACTTACCGTTGGCCGTGCCGATGTCGCCTTTTCCGTCGCTGAGGCCTTGGTACTGGCTGTGTCGGCCGCCGTCCTGAGGGTGGAAGGGTTTGGCTCCAAACGGGTCTAAAAGGGCGTCGTCCACCGGCAGAGACGCTCCCTCGGCCATCGTTATATCCACACTGATGTTCTCCTTAGAGTCAGAGGTGCTGAGGAACTCGTTGCTGCTCTGCGAGTCTCTGCGGCCGACCTTCTTGTGTCTGCGGACTCGTTCGGGCGTGCGATAGGTCGGCTTGTTAGTCTTGCGCCCTCCCGTCGGTGTGCCGTGGTGCCGCTTGCCGTTGCTGCCCCCAGCCGTGGCTTCCTGTTTGGTCTTCCGCTGGCGGGATGACAGCTTCTGAAGGCTGCGCTGCTTCAGCCTCTGCTGCTGAGGACTCGCCGACTCCTCGAAGGGCGTCCGGAAGATGTCTTCGGCACTTCTGGAGGTGGTGGGAGGTTGGGCGGTGGGGCTTGGCTGGAAGGGAGAGAAGCCAAAAACATCGATGCCCTCAGGAGAAACTGGCGGCGTTTGGCCCATGGGGACGTCACCGCCACTCCTGCTCGACCTCGAGAGGTTCCGGCTGAACGGCGCTTTGGTAAAAACGTCAAACTCGTCTGCCGCCTGCTGATCATGGCCGACCTTGAAAGGCGCTTTAGTGAAGATATCTGTGACCTCTGGAGGTTCCACAGGTGAAGCTCCTCCGACAAAGGGCACGGCACCAAAAACATCCACAGGCTCCACAGCTCTCACTCCACCAGGGGACTCTGGGGGCGTGATCAGAGCCATCCCAGAAGGAGGACTCCTGGTGGCAGCAGTCGCTCCTTTAGCTCCTGCAGGTTTCTTTGAGCGGTTCTTCACCCTGCTGGCATCATAGTCTGAATCTGAGCTGTGTTTGTCTTCATCCTCCTCTCCCTCCTCCTCAGAGTCCATCAGCAAAGGCCTCTGTCCAAAATTCTCTGGCTCGGTGTCTTCACCATGCTCGCTGTTCAACGCCTCCTCTTCCTCCGGCTCTTCGTCCTCGCTGCTCTTAGGTGAAGGAGGGTCAGACTCGAAGTCGCTGTCGGACTCGTCGCCGGGCCTGCAGTTGGTCTTCCTGCTCGGTTTGTGCTCCTTGTGGGTCGGCTGCAGACTCTCAGCAGGTTCAGGAACGCCGACCTCCTCGCTGGTCGGCTCGGCCTTCTGCGCACTGGTACCTGCAGAAACAAAACACAGATAATACAGATGTTAACCCCTGATCCTTCCAGATGTTTGATAGTTTTAACAACTGCCAAGTCAGATTTCTTGAAGGCATCCAACCCTTTTCTGATCTCTCCAAAAACAAAACTCAGTTTTCCATTTAGAAAACCTCACAAACCTGCAATGACTTCAGATCACACAAAACCAGTCAGAATAATAACACTGCAGGACGTGTAACTCAAGTCTTTGCTACTCGTGTGTCTCGACAAAAACAAAGAAAGAAATCAGATCAGGACCAATCCCCCAAAACTCCTGTGCAACGTTAACATAAAAGAGCTATTTTATGGAAAAATCGGTGACATCTCCCAGCTGGCAGCAGGTTTAACATGCCTACATTAGAAAATGATTTTGACACAGGAGGACTCGCAGGCAGAAGACGAGGCTGGTATCAGAACGCAGGTCATAAAAGATTTTTTCATATGACTGAGCAGCATCCATCCCACATGCTGTCGAGACCCCTAAACGTTTTACCCAGTGAATTCCACAGAGCAGGCATCCAGGGTCTCAATGCCAGTTTCTGTTCCTCTACAAAGTGAAATATTTTGGCTGTGACTCATAAGAATAATTTTATTGATCCCAAAGGGAGATTCATAGTTTTTACCCGTGCCTTGGAGTGGTTAAAGTTTTAAAAATAACTCAGCTTAAATGAGCCAGCTGTTAAAATTTCATGTAGATTATCTCCTGAAGTTGTTGTAAACGCCGAGGCGCTCTGGTTTCACATTTTTCTTATCCAACATCATTTTAAGGTTACGCCGAACACATGAAAACACGGAGTGAGTCACTTGTATGAGTGACACTCAGGCAGTCTGAGTCTAATGCTCTACAGTTCCTCCTTTTCTTTCCATTTCTATGTAGAAAAACTATTTTGGTCTGAAATCGATCTTTCCTTCTCGTCTTCGTCCGCCGCCTCTCAAACTGCTTCCATCCATCGTTGTTACCAACCTTCAGCTCACTCTGGCCGGCGGTGCCCTCTGAAGAGCTGATATCAGAGCGGTCTTGTTTAAGAGCTCCAGTCTGTGCTGCACTGGTGTTTGAGCTCTGCCTCCTGTTGTCCACATTACACCTGAATCACCGTGTGAACGCATTTTGAATTTTGCAGGAAACCTGTTAAAATGTGTCCAAATGGGTGAAAACTGATTGTTGTTTTTGTGAAACAACAACTGATTCAATCAATTTTGCTAAAATCAAAAGTCAGTGATAAGTGACAGACCGAGTCCTGATGCCTTCCGCTGCTTCTTCGACAGCTGTATTATGGAGGCATTACCCAGGATTACTCGGCTTATACGCCAACCTCCCCACACAAACAAATGCCCAAAAGTTTGCCTTATACTGAAGCAGAAGTGCAATCGCAAAAGTCAATATGGTCTAAAAGCTGCTCCGACTTCTCATCTCTGATCCTGCCATAAGAAGAGGGGAGCTTAGAGGCCGGGGAAATAAGACGAGCAGCTTTTCAAGATTCACAGAATTACTTTTAAAGTTTAGAGATTTAAGCTGCGAGCGTCCCTTTAGACTTGAAAAAGGAAGCTTTGTTCTCTTATTTAAACTCTGCATTTTTGGAAATTCTTACATGTATTTTGGCATTTGGAGGAAAAATTTCTGCCTTCAGTGTGTAAATTTATGTCCAAGAGATTTGCATAATGGCAACTTAGAAATTATCCTAATTAGCGAGTGGATAGTCTCCAATTGTATTGAAGATAAACGGTGCCATATACAATGAGCCAATTCATTGTTCCCTATTAGAGGAACGCTGGGAAAAAGAGAAGAAGAGAACGACCCCCTGCTGCGAACATGAAAATGGAAACCAAGCGTCCAAACTGGCAGGACGTGAAGGCGGATCAGCCAAAAGCTTTGCTGCCGATAAATCAAACAAGGCAGCACTCAAAGATAAGAAGTCCGAGCTGCTCTGCATCTGCTCGGCACACCCGGATTAGAACTTGTAATCATGCTCACCTCCCGGAACGAGGCGATCCCGCCAAACAATAGAAACATCTTTAATCATGAGAGAAGATGTCAGAGCCACGCGGATTTGTTTTGTGTTTCTCCGGTGGGGTGGGGGGAGATTCTGAAGGATTACAGGCTGCGTCTGATCTCTTAAAGATACAAATAAGTGGCGAAAACATGCGTGTGATTGTTCTCTTGTGTGACGGGAGATAAAATCTGTTAGAAATGAGCGAGAGCAGCAGGGGCTTACAGAAGTCTGTTCCCTCGCCGAACAACCGCCGCCGAGCACAGATTGATTTGACGAGGCCGCCGAGAGGTGAACCCAGCGACGGCGAGCCAAACGGGAACGCCCACATTGCATTTTATCCTGCAGGGTTCAGGTTAACGATTTTGGAGAGGGACGTGTCTGTAAAACTGTAGCTGCTGGATGGTCTGAACGCCTCCTCTATCCAGTACACCGTGTCGATTCCTACATGCATTTAGATGAGGGAGGAGAGGCGGCTGTAGGAGGATGAACAGGTGCAGTGTTTGTACAGGTGTGCCTCAGAGGTGGAATATACAAATCTTGTCCTTTTGATCTTGTTTCAGTAACTCATCACTTTGCATCACGCCAAATTAAAATTGACCCTAAACAGAAAACGCGATGAGCACCTGTTACACCTGAAGCAATGAAATTAAGGAAAAAAATATTTTATGAATCAGTTGTGCGACGCGTCGTATTTAACTGACATCGCTTCAGGCCTGTGAGACCTAAATCATCATTGCTGTCAGAATTTGCTTTCCCCCCCCACTAACGGGGGACAAAGATACTTCTAAAAAGTATTTACTTTTCTTCAAAAAGCCCTTTCTGGGTTCTTCCAAACCACAGAATCAGGGTTGGGGCGAAGGAACTTCAGCGAGTTGTAATAATAGTTGATACACCTGTGGTCTCAACTCCTTCCTCGCATCTCTGGTAAGAGGGGCTACGACACAATGAGAAAGGGGGCTTGATTGAATATGCTGCAGTTCACGATGGACGATCCAGCAGTGCACACGCACGCTTTCATTTGTCAAAGCCTCCTTGATAAATCTTTTCTGTATAGTTTTACTCACAGCATCCTGATAGACTGATATCCAAATATGGTCAAAATTCCACCACAGACAGAAGGAAATGACGAGAACATGAAAGTTTGTCCAGAACTAAACCTGCAAACAAGGATTAACCACACTGAACTCACCATGTTCAGAGCTTTAATCTCCATCGGGTTTCCAGCAAACTAGGCATAGGGGCAAAGTCAGATTCACATCTACCCCTTTATATGGAAGATTCATCGATTTAACAGGAGAACTGCAGCCAAAATGCATGTAGGAGACTTGAAAATGTCTTTGTTGCCAAAGGTTGCAGAAATGCACCCTTAACCAAGCGAGTGAAGGACACATGCGTCGCTGCTTCTGTTTCACACTCTGTTTTGCCAACCAGCCGTTGCACAGCATCTCAAACATGCTCAGCTTTCAGTTCGAGCTAGACGGGGCGACACTTAAGACAGCCATCTTAACATCAGGAACATCTTGCTCGTAGTGTAGTGGTGGAGAGACTCTAAGCTTCTCTTTAAGGATAAAAAAGGAACCAAAGTGAGTATTGATTTTGGATGTTTTTTATTCATCAGTAACATTCTATAAAGAAGTACATTCACACTCACAGTATGATACAGGACCTTTTACATAGTCTGCTGCAAAAACAAGAAAACTACTGATCTATAGGTTGTTGTCTTTCTGCAGGAGAGGTACCAGGAGCTGCTGGAGTCAACTAAAGCTGAAGAGCTGTGACATTTTTCCAACACTTCTAATGAGAAGTAAAAAAAAAAAAATCCAATAGTTTTAGTCATCTTATTGGAGGCTTCCTAACACATCTGCATGATTTAAGGCTAACAAAAAATAAAACAAAAATATAGTAACAAGGGGGGGAACATCGCCCCGAGACAGAGAGGAAAGAGCACAGAAAAGTTGCAAATGTAAACAATATAAAACAACATCATCCTACAGATCCTGGGACAGTACTTCCTGTTTTGCTGCACTTTCAAAATAAAATAAAGTGCATTAATAACACTGACTGTCCCTTTCACTTGTTTTTGGCTCTGATGGTTCGCTTGTCCGAGCTATAGACCCATCCACCAATACACATGAACAAGATGTTTCTGAGAATGGCTGTCTCACTAAAT